TTAGAACAAAGTAATACTCTCAGTTGGCTTGTCAGCTGTTTACACGTTCATAATGCACTCTCCGAGCTGTAAAAATTATGCCACGGATTTGTTGAATGAAGTGATATGATATATATATATATATATATATATATATATATATATATATATATATATATATATATATATATATATATATTGGAAGGTGAAGGACATGGCGGAGAGAATCATGTGAGGGCATGGCCAGTAACGCCATCTCTTGTTGATTAAATGTTTGTAAAATTAATACTAGTTATCATCTACGTTTTTGGTAACTTGGTGGTGAGGATCACGTTTAATGGAGTCTTTGTCGGGTCTTATGTGGCCCATGATCTGCTGTGGTCTTGGTCAGGTGGAAAACTGAAATTCGGTAGGCCTATAACTGGCATCTTCCTGCCCCCCCCCCACCCACGGTATAGTAGGCCTAACTGGTGTCTCCCTGTCCTCCTCCAACTATTCCAAATGCTTCAGTTTCTTAAATATAAATTTGTAGAATTTGTTTATTAATGCATCATAATAGGCATGATTTTTATAGTTTATATATACCTTTGCTATATTATTAATCTAATGATGTTTAGATTTTTGCATTTGTGACTAAAATTGGAATTGCATCAGAATTATGGTACGAAACATTATCAGGTGCGAATTGAAAAGGCAAGAGTTTCATACCATTTATTATAGATATTCTATAAACGTATAAAATATCTAAATTTACCAGTATGCATGGTCGATCATGTGGTGCTCTTGTACATTCTCTCCACAACTTCTTCCCGTCTTGAAATACCCTTAAAAAAAAAAAAAACTAATTTGCATGAATGTTTTTATTGTGGGAAAAAGATTTTCCTTCCAGGCCGGGTTTTCCTTCCCCGGATACTTTTCATTTCCAGGCCGCCACTGTTTCCTGCCAGGGTGGTATTCCTTTCCAAGCCGGTGTTAGCTTTCAGGTTGGGGGGGTTTCCTTCCATGTGGTCATTTTCCCCCTTTTTCAGACCGATATTCTGTCGAGATATGAGTAACGATTTAGGGCGATGGTCTTGTGTCTCAAAATCTATCGTCTTTCAAACGATAGATTTTGACGAGGTCACTCTGAAATGTTCAGAGTGCAAGTGTTCACTCGTGTCGCTAGTGGTCTAAGCCACTTGCTTATTTTAGTGGGTGTGGTAGAGAGAGAGCGGATGCCCCCGAACACAGTCTACCGTACCACGGTGTTCATTTTCCGAGCCTGTGTGTGACCGGCTGTTCTCTCAACGTCAGCAAACAGTCGATACCTCACTCTCGCCCTTGGCAAGCACCACGTCGGTTTTGGAGGTCCCCTCGCCCTTGAATCTGCTGGGGGAGAGGTGAGATAATCTCGTTCTGATGGAAGGCTTGATGGCAGCCCCGGAACCCTTCACTAAGACTATACTAGAGACAGGGGAGTCCCTCGGGAATCTTGGTGACCCGGAGCCACCTTTACCCAACACTAAACTGGAGGTCACTGGATCACGTGGGCAGCCTGGTGATCCAGAGCCCTTCACTAAGATTATACTGGGAGCTGAGGACTCTAAATTTGAGGTGGCAGCGTCCCCAGGGCAGGAGCCTGAATTTTTGCCTAAGACTATACAGGAGGGCGTCGGTTCCTTTGGGGAACTGGAGGTTTTTAGGCTGGCGCTCCTTTTCCGGGTGAAGGAGGCCTTTTTGGGAGCCTCAGGAAGGTTCTTCAACAGGTCCATCACTTCCAAGAACTCCGGCACCAGTGGGACGATGGTGGAGTCCTCCTCGGCCATCTCCACCTTCAGATCTGAAGGGTAAGAATGGAGAGAGTGATGCCACTTAAATATAGAGATATTGATAATGTTGGCGAACGAAAAATAGTTAAAAAGGAAAGTTAGAATATTGAACGAAATGGAAAATGAGGGAAATTGCTTCTTTATTACCAGAAAAAATATCGCCTGATACATGTAAGAGGAAGCATGCATGAACATCCGTGGCTAAAGACACAGGCACGTATCAACACACACACACACACACACAATCGACCGGTCCCCACACACCCTACCCAGTAGCAGTCTGAGACTTTGAAAGGGCAGAAAATCATAATGATTTTTAGTCAGCCAACATTCATACCTCTAGCGATAGATATCACAACTACGACGATGACGACTACACCCAACCACAACACCACACCCACCCACCCACAACACCACACTCACCCACAACACCACACCCACCCACAACACAACACCACACCCACCCACAACACCACACCCACCCACAACACCACACCCACCCACAACACCACACTCACCCACAACACCACACCCACCCACAACACCACACTCACCCACAATACCACACCCACCCACCCACATCACCACACCCACCCACAACACTACATCCACCTACACCACACTCACCCACAACACCACACCCACCCACAACAAACCAATGATTTACAGCAATAAGAGAACCAACGACCACAACCAAAAACCCCCACACACAAATGCACCTGCATCACACACAACAAAAACACAATCACAGGGACATAAACAACTACAAACGTACACATCTATACACATAAACACAAACACCTCCGTAAACAAATCTCTTCCAGAAGCAGATAAGAACAGCTTCCTGAAACACGAAGTTAATAAACATAAAACACAAGCCACAACGACACACACACACAAGCGAGCAGAGACCTGATATGGTAGACGCGAAGGAGCCCGATGATGACCCGTCACCTTCGTACGCGTAGGCCCTGAGGTCATCTCGCGGTAAGAGAGGATCAGGAGGAGGGGCCTCGGGGTCAGCAGCAGCACCAGGAGCAGCAGCAGCAGCAGCGCCGGGAGAAGGATCTCCGCTGCTCACCACCGCGTCCGCACTCTCAGTTGGCGAAGCTTCGCTCCTGCACGAGGACCTCTTTCCTGGGATTCCCGAGAAGACTTCATTAAAGAGGGCTGAACACTAAGAGGATTATTATGTGTTAATGGCGAGCGCACAGGCGGCGGGAATTATGTGCTGTGGTGCTCCACGCAAACGTTCTCACTATAGCGAACCAAATAGTAATAAGGTCATGAGTTAAGGAGAATAGGAAGGAAAGAGACAGAGGAGGAGGAAGAAAATATAGAAATAAGGAAAGAAATCATAAAACCTCGGAGAAGAAGAAAATAAATGAAAACAGGACAAGCAAAATAATCAACAGAAACAGGACAGGCAGAAAAATCGACATGAACAGAGGAGTCGACCAAACCAGGACGACAAGTAGCAAAAATAGATTGAAAACCAGTAAAGCAGAGTTGAAAGCAAAATGAATTACCCTTCAAGACTTGAATTTCACGGGCGATTTTTAAGGTATTAAGAAATCCTCGTTATCCCGGACAAATCCTCGTTATCCCGGACAAATCCTCGTTATCCCGGACAAATCCTCGTTATCCCAGACAAATCTGGTATCAGCTCAGCGAAAAAGGAAATTTCAGTTTGCTTATTTTCCATTCCATGCCTTGTAATGAGGATCTCGCCTCCGAAGGCTATGGATACTCTAATAGTATCATTTTCAAACTGACTAACTTTACCCGTTCTAATTTCGGATGATAGACTGCTTTTGTACATGATTATAGCATTGTCACTGACCAGGGTGAGGGAGGGAGTATAACTGAATATACCCTTGGTTCCAGCGCCATCAAAAATATGAGAGAGAGAAGGAGAGAAGGAGAGAGAGAGAGAAGTAAAAGCGAGGAAATGACAATATTAATATACAAAAAGTATGATAGAGAGAGCTCGGAAAAGTGTGATTAAAATACAGAGAAAATAATATTCGAGTAATACACCAGGTTTAAGTGTGACAAACAGTAAATTTATTCTGCAAATTATACAATAAATATGGCTATTTATACCGTATACTTTACGAGATAAATAACTAGAGAACTGGAGAAATATACAAGTTTAAATGTAATTGTGTTGCGAGGCGAGAATACACCGAGGCGAACGAAATACATTCATACACATACAGGCCACTTTCTTCTTCCTTTTCACTTATGTGTGCATATATGTACTGTATATATATTAGTATATTTTGGTAGCAGTCTTTCCTGTAGACATATATTATTAAATATGACCGAAAAAGTAAGATTAATAATTCTAACACGAATTTTCTCAATCTTTCGTACATTTCTTTTCACTGTTGGAGGTAAATCAAAAATCAATTCTCCAAAATTCATTTTTATTTATTTCATTCAAAATAAAAATGAATTTTGGAGAATTGATTTTTGATTTACCTCCAACAGTGAAAAGAAATGTACGAAAGATTGAGAAAATTCGTGTTAGAATTATTAATCTTACTTTTTCGGTCATATTTAATAATATATGTACTGTATATATATATATGATATAATGTTTGTATTATACATATATTTCCATCAAGTCCCATATAACATGGCTTGATGGAAAACGTCAAGTGATCTCTCACTGTCTCATTGCCTGGAGAGGATGGGATATCTGGGAAGTTAAATACCCCGGAATTCCCACCTCTTTTGGGGCTCTGAGTATGGTGTAGTGGATACAAGTGCGTACCTGCCATCTTGATGGTCAGGGATCGAGTCCCCTGGTGGGTGTGAGTGTCTAAAGTTTCTATACTTCAAACTTGCGGTTTAAAGCAAGTTAGTGCATATATTATATATATATATATATATATATATATATATATATATATATATATATATATATATATATATATATATATATATATATATATGTCGTACCTAGTAGCCAGAACGCACTTCTCAGCCTACTATGCAAGGCCAAATTTGCCTAATAAGCAAAATTTTCCTGAATTAATATATTTTCTATAATTTTTTTCTTATGAAATGATAAAGCTACCCATTTCATTATGTATGAGGTCAATGTTTTTTTATTGGAGTTAAAATTAACGTAGATATATGACCGAACCTAACCAACCCTACCTAACCTAACCTAACCTATCTTTATAGGTTAGGTTAGGTTAGGTAGTAGAGAAAGTTAGGTTAGGTTAGGTTAGGTAGGTTAGGTAGTCGAAAAACAATTCATTCATGAAAACTTGGCTTATTAGGCAAATCGGGCCTTGCATAGTAGGCTGAGAAGTGAGTTCTGGCTACTAGGTACGACATATATATATATATATATATATATATATATATATATATATATATATATATATATATATATATATATATATATATATATATATATGCGGAAAATCCACAGAGAAATATGAAAGGAGGTGAACGTTTCGGCTTTGTTAAAGCCTTTGTCAACACCAGACTGATTTTTTTGTTAAAAAAAGGAGTTATATATAGGATACAAATATATATATAATTATAGCTACCTATTCCCCTGAAATAATAGTACTGTCTAGAATTATATAGTCGATCGTGCCAATATGCAGTAATGAAGCCCCAGTAAGCCACTTTTTGTACTATTTTGTATAGAGCCCTGATTTTTTTTTTAATTGTCTTAGGCCTAGCATAGCACTTAAATGAGCTATATTTGGCCGCGGAGAGCGTTTAATGGGCCTAGGATGGTTAGGTTAGGTTTTATTAGCAACATTAAATATAACAACTTTTCCGGTTTGTCCAAATTCAGCAACACAAAAGTCAACTTTCTTGTGGTCCATCAAGACATATTGGTATTTTCGACCATATCGTTACTGAAAGTACTTTTAGAAAACTGGGCTGATATATAGATCCATGCACTATATCTCTTCCCCTCCTCACACACACACACACACATACACACACACACACACACACACACACACACACACACACACACACACACACACACACACACACACACACACACACACACACACACATACACACACACACACACACGCACACACACACACACACACACACACACACACACACACACACACACACACCTCTTCCTCACCTGCTCCACAAACCCATCCACAGATAAAAATCTCATCTCGGACACAAATTGCACCCACCTTTCTTCTTTAAGGCAGGCTGTGAACTGGGTAATTTGAACTTTAGGCATTCCAGAAACGATTCATGGGTGTCATCTTCTCTAAGTTCCTTCTCTCCTTCTAACCCACCACCTCCTCCTCCCCCTCCTTCGTCTTCATCAGCTCCTTTCCCGCTTCTACTGCGTCTTTTCACCTCCACCACCGTGCCCTTTGCTGTGTCGTCGACGTCCGTCCCTCGCTCTCTGAGTCCCAGGCTGCTCCTGTGCCGGTGTAGACGAAGCGACACCACCAACCCCACCACTACTGTAGGAGGGAAGAGAGAGAGGGAGAGAGAAGGCCTCGAGATTACTACTTAGGACCGTGGTATTCATCGTAATCTACTACTGCTGGGGTAGAGAGTAGCCTAGGGAACTGTTGTTCCCTTTCTCCCGATAAAATGGACCCGAATATTGGAAGTAAAATAGAAGCCAAGTACTAGGGTTTACTACTTGGCTTCTGACACTTGTATTCAGGTACTGGCGAGCACTGTTAACTACGCGGCAAGACACGCGTATCACCCGCGTCTGTGTGAGAATGGGAGACTCAGGCGAGAAGAAAATTGAAGGAAATGTTGTCGTCTTATGAGACACCATCAGGGGAGGGAGGGAGGAGGGCGGCGGCGTGCAGAAGGCGTATCGACAGCCGGCATCACCACCACCCACTTTGGCCAAGAAAATAAGAACAGCAATCAGAGTGCCATTATCCTCAACGGCTGCCGTGGATGGAACAAGGGAGAAGCTTCAAGTTCCCGGGACGGGCGTCGCTAACACCACCGCTGTCTCTACCACCACTACCTCTTCCACCACCACCACTACCACTACCACAACCCCCTTTGATACCACTGTCGTTACCACCATCCTTCATAGCAAAAGCATTACGATCGTTACACATGCTACCAGTACATCATCCACTACCTCCTTTAACAATGCCACTACCGCAATCCCGACAACCACAGCTACCAGTACTACTACCGATATTGCTCCTACCACCACCACCATGGCCGTATTCTGCACACGACTACCACCACCACTCTCCCCCCCCCACGGCCACTCTTATCATCATTATCACAACTACTTCTACCGCACCTACCACTATACAACCACCACTATACAACCACCACTACACAACCACCACTACACAACCACCACTACACAACCACCACTATACAACCACCACTATACAACCACCACTACACAACCACCACTACACAACCACCACTACACAACCACCACTACACAACCACCACTATACAACCACCACTACACAACCACCACTACACAACCACCACTACACAACCACCACTTCACAACCACCACTACACAACCACCACTACACAACCACCACTATACAACCACCACTACACAACCACCACTACACAACCACCACTATACAACCACCACTACACAACCACGGCTATACAACCACCACTACACAACCACCACTACACAACCACCACTATACAACCACCACTACACAACCACGACTATACAACCACCACTACACAACCACCACTACACAACCACCACTATACAACCACCACTATACAACCACCACTACACAACCACCACTACACAACCACCACTATACAACCACGACTATACAACCACCACTACACAACCACCACTACACAACCACCACTATACAACCACGACTATACAACCACCACTATACAACCACCACTATACAACCACCACTACACAACCACCACTATACAACCACGACTATACAACCACCACTATACAACCACCACTATACAACCACCACTATACAACCACGACATCCACCACAGTGACCATCACCACCAGCGCCGCCAACCACAATAACCAAATTAACCAAATGTGTATAATATTCCCAGTAATGTAACTCACTGCTAAGAGCGCTTCTGGTAATTCAACTCGTTTTCTCAACTAATAGGTCACGTTTTTTACGTTTTCGTAACAAACGTTACAAATGATACGTGCTAATGAGAAAATCTGTTGGAGTCAATGGAAGGATTCGAACCCGCACACACGTGGTACTCCCAAACACACGCCTGAGACCACTACACCACCACATGGTAAAAAGCAATGCAACCTGGAATTCACGTATTAAGAAAAGTTACGGTTCACAAATATTTACGTTTTCTATGCATCGGACTCGATAGGTTAGGTAGGTTGCTGGGGTTCGTACGTTTGAGATATACTTTAAAGGTTACACACAGAAATCACAATAGCCTGATGCATCAAATGAACAAATCCACAAGGGCCGTGAGGAGGGTTTAAGGCGCGTCTGGGATCCTCTTAGACGTAGGTTCGAACCCTCGTCACGGCCCTTGTTGTGGATTTGTTGGTACATAAAGGTGTTTAATTTTGGTCCGGATTGACAAGTGAAGAGAACGGGGCTGACAACTTACACAGGACTATAAGCGAGGCGGTGAGGGCTGCGATGGCGACGGGCGCCGTGAGGGAGTTGGTGGAGGAGGCGAGTGTGGTCCACTGGCAGTGGTCGCCCATGTGGCCCGGGCCACACACACAGAGGAAGCCGGGCCGCAGGTTATAGCACGACCCCCCGTGCAGGCAGGGCCGCCACACGCACTCATCTATATCCTCGCATGTGCGGTCCACCAGCTGTCGGCCCGGGCCACAGCTGAAGACACGGGGCAGGGGGGAAGTTAAGAGGGACAAAGAGCAGTGAATTAAATTATATATATTTATAATTACCCGCGAGGGTGACCTTTGAACCCCCTCCCAGTACTTACTGACCCAACATGCTCCCAGGCCTTGTATATGATACCTGACTCAGCAAGATTCCTAATTTGACCTGACCCCCTTGACCCAGCACACCTTCCTGATACTCACCTGCAGGTGGCCTGGCCCCAGGTGGTGGTGCAGGTGAGGGGTTGGGCACAGGTGGTGTTGAGACAGGCGTCTGGGGCCTCGCAGCCACGTTCCAGGTGCTGCAAGGTGGTCACCTGGCCCCAGCTGGTACCGTTGATGGCAGGTGGTAGCGGTAAGGGGTGGTTCGATACCCGCAGGTCGTCCACACAGGCTGACATAGGGGGATAAATGTACTGTTATATAAATGCTGATAAATGTTATAATTTAGCATCCAGCATATCGAGGGCTAACCGACGACTAGTAAATTCCCAAGAATGGGAACCACAACAATTGGCAAACTCCCAGCTACCTAATTACTGCTAAGTGAGCAGAAACATCATGTTTAAGATAAGACCTTACAACTCACTTTACAGGTGCACGTAGATATAACAAAAGACGCGAGGAGAGACATGACTAACTTGGATATCACAGGGACAACGACCAAGCAAGATCTTGGTAAGGGTGTTGAAGAGAGGGCACGTAATCTTAAGTTACTAACGAGTACCTTGAACAAATCCCTGTAAATAAGTGACCTACCATCTGGAGACAAATAACCAATGCTGTAGCTTTATAAAGTTCTTTCTTTATAAAGAAATGTTTCGAACGTTATATACAACCCAAGTGAAACCCACTGTTGAGTACGCTAGCAAGGACATGAAACCTACGTGAAACCCAATATTGAGTTCGCTAATAAAGGCATGCAGCAAAATTTTGTAATGAGCTACGGAGACTGATGAATAAATAATGGAACTGAACTAGAAGAGAGAACAAGGGAGACTTGATAACGACATACAAGATTCCACGGGAAATATACCAAATTGACGACAATACAAATAGGTCATGGTGATGTTAAAACAATCTCCTACAGTATAATAGTCTTAATAAATCATTTGAATTATTTCAAGTTATTAAAATTAATCCGATACACAATTTTAAATATAAATTTGGTAAGAAAATTAGATATAATTAGTCGTTGCAATAAACAATAAATATTCGAAAGACTCGACCATGCAAGCGCATTTTGGCAAATACATCCAGATAAGTAGCCACACATTATTCACAACATTTCATAAATACTTTACAATTTACACGTTAGTTGAGCCGTATTTCAGTGAGGTGAGCGAATATTAATGACTGAATATTTCTCAAGTTCGGAGGGAATTCATGCTTGTGCAGACAGCTAATTATAGCTGGGCTGTGTGAGTGGATATGTTGAAGGTGTCGGGAATGTGCTGCTTTGTGCTGGGGGTATGTGGAGGGGGGGGGGGGTGTATGATTAGTAAATCCACAAGGGCCGTGATGAGGGGGATTCGAACTTACGTCCAGGATGACCTATCCTGGATCCCTGATTTATTCATTTGATATTTCACGCTATTGTGATTTCTGTATGTATGGCGTATGATGAGTTGGGGGGGGATGTGTCGGGGGGGGGGGGGTATAGAAGATGTGTTGGAAGCGAGGTGGGTTGTATTAGAGCTGTGTTATATATATTTTAGAGATGTTTTGTTCTCGTGTTCGTTGCCTGGAGAATACCTAGGCAACTCAGTGGGATACACGATCCCAACTTCACCGGATGTTTTTGCAGCCACACCAACAACAACACAACCGAAGGTCACTAATCTCAGAGCCGTGGGTGCTCCCCATGCAGGGGACTTTCTTATAGCAATACCCATTGTGTGCAACAGGCACACGTCTACACCCACAGTCGGTCATTGCCTTGCTTCTCCCAAATCACACTGAATATTGTGTTTTTTTTTGCAACAAGGGGAAGACCAACCAATATGACTTGCACGGACTGAACTACAGAAGCTCCAGGGATGGCACGCAAAAAAAAAACTCAGCACAGTTAATGACATCAGAATCCCAGCCGCAACTTGGAGCCCATCAGAGAAAGAACCCGATTTTTACACCGGATGGTCTGGACATAAGTCAACTTCAAAGTGGCTTTTGGAGTAGTTCCAACATACAACGTTAAAGCTTAACTCCAGCAAACACAAATAGGGACGTACACACACACACACACACACACACACACACACACACACACACACACACACACACACACACACACACACACACACACACACACACACACACACTTCGAGAAGCCCAGTTCTCGGGCAGAAATATTTAATAATTTATTTTGGAGAAGAGAAGCCATAAGGCGAGGCGCTTGGTGTTCCATCAAGCTCTCAGCTAGACAGCTGGCCACAGAGTGAATATATAAATAAATTCGTACAGTCATTAATATTATGCTTGTAATGCTTTATGCGAACATTGTGACGAAGCCTGCAATGAAATACTGAAATTTATGTACTTCAAATATGTATTTGTGAATTGTATACCTGTACTCACCACAGACGGAATTTGCTTTTCCCTGTCTGTGGAGACAAGTGTATGATAACGCAAGGCACTGACAGACAACATGAGGACTGGCTGAGATGCGTACTCAAAACGTGTGATCGAACGATCTTCCAGAGGGTATAGACTCATTCCTCTCGATGTTTGCTGATGATGCAAAAATTATGAGAAGAATCAAGACGGATGAAGATAGACAGAGACTACAGGATGACCTGGATAAACTGGAGGAATGGTCTAGAAAATGGCTGCTGAAGTTCAACTCTGGAAAGTGTAAGGTGATGAAATTAGGCGAAGGGAGCAGGAGGCTGAACACAAGGTATCATCTGGGAGGGGAAATCCTGCAAGAATCAAATAGAGAGAAGGATCTGGGGGTTGATATCACACCGAACCTGTCCCCAGAGGCCCACATCAAAAGAATATCATCAGCGGCATATGCTAGACTGGCCAACATAAGAACTGCCTTCAGAAACTTGTGTAAGGAATCTTTCAGAACCCTGTATACCACTTATGTAAGACAATCCTGGAGTATGCAGCTCCAGCCTGGAGTCCATACCTAGTTAAACACAAGACAAAGTTAGAGAAGATTCAGCGGTATGCCACCAGGAGAACACGTTTGTGCTCAGAACGACAAAATGGAATGCACTAGGAAGTGATGTGGTGGAGGCTGACTCCATACACAGTTTCAAATGTAGGTATGATAGAGCCCACACACACACACACCAAAGACACACACACACACACACACACACACACACACACACACACACACACACACACGTAGTTAGTAAACAGTTGATTGACAGTTGAGAGGCGGGTCGAAAGAGCAGAGCTCAACCCCAACTAGGTGAATACACACACACACACCACACCACACACACACCACACCACACACACCACACAACACCACACCACACACCACACCACACCACACACACACACACACACACACACACACACACACACACACACACACACACACACACACAAACACCTCCCAACTTACCATCGACCAGATCGTCCCGAATTCCCACCAACTTGACTCCAACGAACTCTGGCAGTCCTCCAACGGTGACACCGTCGTGCTTGTCCACGTTGAGGGCAGAGGGCGGCTCCCTTCTCCGCCCACCATCCCGCGCCGCCAGAAACGACGCCAGGGACTCGTTCCGACGCCATCCGTCGCCGTCGTCGACGCTCACCAGGAGGTTGTCGCCGTGTCGTTCCGCCTGAACGGTGTGCCACTCGCCGTCGCCAAGCGGCCGAGCCTCCACGCACGCCGCCATCGCTGCCCACTCCGAGCCGGTCAGCGACGCACACACCACACTTGAGCGAAGCTGAGGGCGTGGAAGGAGTGAGCGGTGAGCGAGGTGAAGGGTGAGGGCGTGGGTGATGAGTAAGCTATGAGGATTAGGCACCGAGTAGTGAGTAGACGATGAGTGGGGCTGGGAGTGAATAGGCGATGAGTAAGCGAAGAAGATGGACACAAATTTAAACGATTACTAAGCAAGAATAGCGAAGAAGGCGATAACTTTTGACGAAACCACACACCAGAAGATGAAGAGACGACGACATTTCGGTCCGTCCTTTACGGGCTATTCGTGCCCATGCCACCTCTTGAGTAGCTTAATCTTCATCAATCAATCAATCAATCGGGCCGTCCTGGACCATAATCAAGTCGTATGTGGTCCAGGACGGACCGAAACGTCGTCGGTTCTTCATTTTCTGGTATGTGGTTTGTCATCATAGCTTCAGCCACGTTATTGTTCCTCATCCTCTGGCGATAACTGATCTCTGGAAGAGAGTCAAACGGTACTCACATGGAGCATGAAGGCGGCCGAGTGGTGATGGGCGGCCAGGTGCAGGAGGAGGCCGTGTCGCGCCCCTCGGGTCCTCACCCGAAGCTGTACCTTCAACACCCGGGGCGCAGGCGTGAACGACAACGCCACCTTCACGTACGAAGACTTGCCAAGGGAGGCGGGGACCGTGGGCGTGGAGCAGCCAGATCCGCCCCATCCGGGTTGGCACTCACACCCTGGTCGCTTGAGGCCGCCCGCACACTCTCCGTGAACACCACACCCGGCGGGACACGCAGATTCTTGGGGCTTGCATCCGGCCGCAGTGTTCCCCTGGCTGTAGGCCGGTTCTCCGAGGTCCACAAGCTGCAGAGACGCGCAGGGACAGTTATGTGGGGTGCTGTGTGTCCTCTTAGTATGGTGGACAGTCTGGCTCAGGTCACGAGGTGCAGTCTAGCACCCCCCCCCCTCCCAGTCACTTGGTGCTAAGTCGGGTCCACCATCACGTGGTGCTAAGTCTGGTCCCCCGTCACGTGGTGCTAGGTCTGGTACCCCGTCACGTGGTACCAGACCTAGGGGTACCATACTGGAGGGAAATATATATGTCCCTCCAGTATTTTCCACGTGTATATTATTTGATATTTCTCTCGTCTTCTTTCTAGCGAGTACATTTAGAGACCTTTGAGACGATCCCAATAATTTAGATGCTTTATTACGTCTACGTGTGCCGTATATGTTCTCTGTATTCCCTCTATTTCAGCAATGTCTCCTGCTTTGAAAGGGGAAGTGAGTACTGAGCAGTACTCAAGACGGGACAGCGCAAGTGATTTATATAGTGCAACCATTGTGATGGGATCCCTGGATTTGAAAGTTATCGTAATCCATCCTATAATATTAAGGATGGATTACGCAATATTTGCTTGGTTATGCTCCCTAAACGTTAGGTCGTCAGACATCATTATTCCCAAATCCTTTACATGCTGTTTTCCTACTATGGGAGTCGAGAACGCAGCCAACTGTATCACCACATGAGGACCAGGGGCCAGATTCACGAAAGCACTTACGAACGTGTACATCTTTCCTCAATCTTTGACGGCTTTGGTTACATTTATTAAACAGTTTACAAGCATGAAAACTTGCCAATCAACTGTTGTTATTGTTATAAACAGCCTCCTGGTGCTTCGGAGCTCATTAACTGTTAAATAATTGGAAACGAAGCCGCCAAAGATTGAGAAAAGATGTACAGGTTTGTAAGTGCTTACGTAAGTGCTGTCGTGAATCTGGCCCCAGGTGTGGTCCAGCATGGACCGGGGGGGTGTGATCCAAGGACACGTGTGGCAGGTGCAGCCTTGGAAGTAGATTAATGTTAGATTATACCAGGAGCGGGCAGCTTCGGGTATACCCTAAGGCGCTGTTGTTGTTGTAGCAACCCGTATTGATTTTCCGTTCCATCGCTAGAACAAAATCGTGACAATATAACACCATCACTCGCCTGTCTTATCACCCACTTGAGTACACACTGCATAATTGATCTAAGAGTGCTTTGCTAGTACATTACGTGTATAAGACATTCATGTTGACTCACTGCTCATCCTCATACTTGATGGATATAACTTCTTTTAACTATCTTGGCTAATTTAAAACAACGGAAGGACTTGTGACTTATCAATAAAAGCATTAGTACAAGGAAATTATTAATCAGTCAGCTAGGTAATCTGTATCTATAAAAATCAATGTCTGTCTGTTCAAGACTGGGGACCAAACAGCTGGGGCTATCCTCACAAACTTTGCAGGGTGACCAGTCTTTGTCTAGGGATGATCATAGGCAGGTCAGGGCTCGAGCCCCATGACTCCCGTCCCTTTAGCGTGAAATATGGCAAACCAGACCAATTTCCAGTCACGCCAAATAAAAACCCATCCTTTCTAAGATAACAGAAATTCACAACTACCACTTTGGTCTTATCTATTAACACTTCCGTCTTTAGTTACAAAGCCTTGAGACAATCCATACACTGAGGAAATACCTCCTCCCACTTTGGCGTAGACCAATCATAGCCTTTTCTGAAACTGGCCCTCCAATCAGAAATTCTCTTTCAAAGACTCTAAGCTTCTCTTACGGCTGAATTGACAGTGACCTAAAGTGGGGGAAGCACTAGTATGCTCAGGCCTTTCTGACAAATTGTTAGAGTTCAGTACGCCAGGTTTGGGGCTAGTTGCTCGAGTCTGACCTCACTGTCTCGCCCTCTGTTTTTAGGCCAAATAAAGAAAACAATTTGCTATGCAGGATGGGTATATTTCTCCAACTCTTATTAATTTTCAGACAAATCCTTTAATAAAGACACCGCGTTGTTTTAGAACACGGTTGAGGCTGTGTTACCCTATGGCCAGAAACAGTCAGGTTTTGCCATTTATAGTCACGTGTTGGTCATGAATAATCGGGTGTGGACAGTAATGGTCCGGAGTGGCTATTAATGGTCCGTTGTGGTCATCAATGCGCAGGTGCGGATAACGGAAGGTGAGACCTGGAGAAAGAACAAGGTTGGCCAGCGTGCCATTTATAGTGAGAGTGACAATGACTTCCCCCATCACATGTTTATAAATGATGTGTTCTCTGTGAAGTGAGAAACGTGCATAAATGTGTTCCACCGTAAGTCAGGGTAAATTAAAAGCCTCTCCGACATAAAGTAAGAATTAAATCACAGCACACCTTGAAGAGCTGAAATAAATTATATTTCCTTTCGGAAGTAAAAGAAAAAAATCAGTCTTTCGTCGCAAGTTAAAAATGATAACTGCGTATTCCAACAGAATAAATTACAATTTGTCTCGCTTGTGAAGTTAGAGTGAATCACACCCTAACCTCACTTGCAGTTGGAATTCACAAAACAGTTCGGGAAATAATGTCTTGGTCTGTTGCCGAAAACAATCAAAGACTCTTTCGTATTTGGAATGTCTTCGATTGATATTGGTTTCAATTGTAAAAAGTCTTTGTTTTCCTATAAATCTTCCGTAAATGTGAATCCCCCGGTCAAATTACAGTTATCTGGCACTACTGTTGACTAATTGGTCGCATATTTTACGTCGAAATTCACGAATTTCTGTAATGTTTACCAATGTCGATTAGTGTCCTGGACGTTATCGCGTGTGTCTTATCTCAGAAGCTCTTACGGATTACTCAGAATATTTGTCTAACGCGGTAGAAGTGACTACACTGCAAGTCGAGACTGTAGCCGTGAAATGATATTATTCAAAGTCAAATATTGACTTTGTTGAACGAAATATATGTCAACTGCTTCGGGCCACCCTGGTAATCCTTTTCATTTGCGGTTACGAGATAAATACGGGATTACAAAGGATTAATTAGGATTACAAAGACTAACAGACCAGTAGAGCCAAAGTAGGTTGTTTGTTTACGGAGAGTTTATGAAATTATAAACATGGAGAATTGCATGTCTAATCTAAGTTTAATTATTATTTGTGTTCCACACTAATATATTTCCCAGTGAGCTGTTCCACATGTTTCACGCGCGATTAAATAAGAGGCAATTAGTGTCTTTTTTCTTAGATAGAGAACAGAAAATTTGAATTGGCTCGCACATCATCGAACTAAGACTTGCTTCTTGGTACCCATCAACTGAGGCTGGCGGTACGGCGACGGTCTTGGTTCTCACAGGGATCCGGGTTCGAAACCCCCGTTATTTCAAGTGATTATACACCAAGTTTTCACTCTCATATTCCATCCTCCTTGTCCTCATATCCTATTTAAGTGCTATATCGTCACACACTGGCTTAGACCTTTCTCCGGATTCCGTTACACTCCAGGTGCTCGGACAACAGCTGCATGTTGATCACCTTACACTCCAGGAGTCAGGGAGAGCGACGGTCTCGCTTCATGCAGGTCGGCGTTCAATCCCCAACCGTCCAAGTGGTTGGGCACCATTCCTTTCCCCCGTCCTATCCCAAATCCTTATCCTGACCCCTTCCCAGTGCTGTATAGTCGCAATGGCTTAGTGCGTCCTCCCTGATAGTTCCCTTTCAGGTGTCAGGACAACAGTTGCATGGTGCTCACCATGTGAGGAAGCTTGATGTTTGCGCCTGGGATTAAACAGATCTATTGACAAGTTGACGTGTTTACGGTAAAACAAATCAAATAAGCAGGTGGGAAATATGTCACGTGGGAAGTAAAATGGTAGACAGGATTTGAGGTAGAAAGGAATACGGGTAGACAACAGGTAGACGATCTCAAGGACCCGTGAGGATAAACAGACAAACAGTCAAGATAAATGAGTTAAAAGCGTACAATGCGTGAAAACAGATAATTAGTTGAGTTGGTAGATGATTAGTAGTAACAGTCCCAGCTCTCACCTGACCATTGAGGATGAGATGTGAGACGCAGCCTTGGAGTGGGCGGGCTGTGGGGGCCTCGCCCCACCCGTGGTCGTGGGCGGTGGGCGGTGAGTGGGCGATACCGCCCACCTGCAGGGGTCCTGAGCCTAGCCACTCCTCCAGACCAAATGGGGCAGACCAGTCAGCTTGCGCGAGGCAGTGTACGTCGTTTTGGGCGTTGTTCTCCCAACCTTGGCCGCACAGGTCGACCATGAGAGCAACACCCTAGTGAAGGGGGTTCGAGAACGGTCACTTCGATGTAAATTGTGAAAAAGGAAATTATGTTTCTAATGAGTTAGAAATCTTAATGTTTGTATCTACACGAGTTCAGGCGAATGAGTGAGAGAAGTCGAGGAATGAGTGAAAGAAGTCGAGGAATGAGTGAGAGAAGTCGAGGAATGAGTGAGAGAAGTCGAGGAATGAGTGAGAGAAGTCGAGGAATGGGTGATAGAAGTCGAGGAATGAGTGAGAGAAGTCGAGGAATGAGTGAGAGAAGTCGAGGAACGAGTCAGAGAAGTCGAGGAATGAGTGAGAGAAGTCGAGGAATGAGTGAGAGAAGTCGAGGAATGAGTGAGAGAAGTCGAGGAACGAGTGAGAGAAGTCGAGGAATGAGTGAGAGAAGTCGAGGAATGAGTGAGAGAAGTCGAGGAATGAGTGAGAGAAGTCGAGGAATGAGTGAGAGAAGTCAAGGAATGAGACATCGTAATCCCTGAATCTTACATATCTGGTATGAATGCAATTAAGAAGGTAAGTTTGGGTCAGTTATTTCATGGTAGCTGAAACTCAATTTCTAGGAGCTTCAACGCAAGTCATTCGGGGGTCCAATTACCACGTTGGGGGGCGGCGTCTGTACTGGAAACTATAATGCTTGTTAATTGTCTTTAATGGCCACTGGAAAAAAAAAGTTTAAACTAATTGTTTTTTTTTAATCATAGGACAGATGTTATAGATGATGATGATATCTGTTATCGAATAGCGTAGAGATATGTCTCAATTCCATCCCCATGGTGGGGCAGTCTATCTCAAATAGACGTGTTTATCACCAGGTATTGGTAGATGACAGAAACTGGGACCTTTACTTGTGTGTATAAGCGTCTGCGCAGTCACAGCGAACCTGCTATCCTCACCTGGGCAGCCATGGCACACCTGCTATCATCCAGGACAGCTGCAGCACACCTGCTATCCTCACCTGGGCAGCCATGACACACGTGCTATCATCCAGGACAGCTGCAACACACCTGCTATTCTCACCTGCTGGCACACGTGCTATCATCGAGGACAGCTGCAGCACACCTGCTATTCTCACCTGGGCAGCCACACACGTGCTATCATCCAGGACAGCTGCAGCACACCTGCTATCCTCACCTGGGTATCGAGGTGAACATGAAGAGTGTGCCAGTCGCCGCCGTGTATCGTAGTGTTCACCTCCAGCTTCAAGGGCACGATCCCGCCTTCCAGCAGCAACTGGGGTCGGCCGTACTTTAGCTGCAGGGCAAGCATGGGCGTGGGCCGGGGCGCGGAGGACGACGAGGAGGAGGAAGAAGATGATTCCGGGGGCCTCTGCTGGGGTGACAGTGGGCCGGAATAGAGAATGAGAGCGTTGGGTCGCCAGGTGAGGACCCGGAGAGAAATGGTTGTGGGAAGACATGGAGGCAGGGGTCGGACCCACGCCCACCCAGATCCGGAGAAGGTGCGAGACAATACCTTGCACTGCCATCCCTTGGAGCCGCCGGGACATACGCACCTGTCGAAGGCGTAGTAGAGATACATGGTTACGCAACAAGCATTCTACCGCTTGAGTTTCATCTTCCCGTCTTGAAGCTGTGTAAACTAATGTTATCTAGACTCTACATTGTGCTCTCGCCACGAACTCACAAACGCTTAGGAAAGTGCGTAAACGCTTGGTAAGTAAATTATATTACATATATCACCTAGAACGGAACTGTACTCATGCAAATTGGACAATATTATGCTTGTAGCATATGAATAAGGCTTTTATGCATTTTACATTATATGATGACAACTGCACGCATACGCACGCGTGGGCGCACGTACGCTCACACACACACACACACACACACACACACACACACACACACACACACACACACACACACACACACACACACACACACACACACACATACACGACTCTTCCTCCACCATCAGTATCGTCAATACCTGTTACCAGTCGCAAGTCTGATGCAGCTCCCTCCGTTGAGGCAGGAGGTGGGCGTGCAGGACTCTGGCTCGTGGGCGTAGCAGGCGTGGGCGCGGGAGAGGCGAGGAGTGACCAGAGAGGTAGCGTTGGTGTCCACCACCTACCAAGTGTGACGAACATGTGATTATTGATTACCAGTCCTACATCCTTCCACCTATTTAGAATTCTCACATGTGCCAGCGCGTTAAGAATTTATTGCCAAACTCTTTTTATCTAGTTTATAAATGGATTTTCGAGACAAAGAGAACGAGAAATTGTGTTGATGACGAGCGAGACGAAGAACTTTGAAAGAACAGATGTGGTTCTGCGATTGTTCTCGTCGTAGTCCCGTGGGGTAGTATGCCATGCTTATCAGGAAAGTTCCCACGCCACAAGACTAGTAGAAAGAATTAGAAAATGTTTGTAGCAAGACGGCAGGATCGAACCAGCCTTCCGCGGGTCACCCCAGACGAGAAGGTCGTTCGATCTTGCCATCCTGCTCCAGAGATTTTCTCATAGATGTATCGCGTAATTGTGATTTCATTGTGTAGACTGAATTAGGTTCAGAAGAGGGATTCTGCCTAGACGAGTAGATGGCAATGAATGGATTTCCAGGGGCAATCGCTAGGAACTGCCGGCTGAGTTTATATTACAAGGCCAACGCGATACCTTTTCATTGACAACTGGGCTGGATATAAATCACATCGTACACAAGACGGGTGATCAGCGGATTTTAAAACGTAGCTCAATAAACCCAACCTAACCTAACCTATTTACCCTAACGAGCCTAAAAGCCTAACCTAAGCTAATACTTCGCAACCTAACAATATATATACAGTTTTAACAAGGAGAAAACAAGATTTGTCGAGTCGTCTTGTGTACGATTTGACTATAACCCCAATAATTCATATGGCAGATATGTACATACGGGACAGGATGCGTCTCTCTAAGGCTGCGGTGGCAGTCATGGTGAGTGGCTGTTAAGGGTAATTGGGGTCAATTGCTGACTTGAAAAAAGTATTGTTTAGGTAGTACAATATCATTTATCAACAGCTCGTTCACTAACAAGAATTCTGTGTATGTTATGGTAGCACGGGACATGCAAATGGAAAGACAGTCCATTTAAGTTGCAAGATTGACATAAATACACCGATCGACAACAGCAGCGTGATCAATACAAATGACCTGAATTCAATTACACAAACTGTACTCACGCACAGTGAACAGACATCAAACGTAGAGGTAGCGATATTTGTCAAGCACAACCAAATGTGTAGCACTAAACTATACGGACGCTGTTTTCATAGAAATGGCCGAGGGCACCGACATGCTTTTTATTGAAGTAGTATACAGGCCTCAGACGAAGTGGTAGGCTGACTTGTCAGTAAGGAATTTGTAAGATTTAGTAAGAGTAATGTGTGCATCGTTGGGGAACTTCAACTGTGGAGAAATTAACAGGAACAGAACAACAGAAAATTCTTCTCTTAAAGGCAGGGGAATGAGTTTCTGTGACAATTTCCACACATGTAATCTACCCCTCATTCACCCTATCCACCTCATCAACTTCTAACACACACACACCCTACCTCACTCTCACACCATCCTTCCTATTCACTACCTACCTCTGATACTATGCACCTTTCTCATCTATAAACATTTGGCTCTACTCTGCTCTTCACCTCCCAAACACCCTCACCCTCTCCTCACCACCTCACCTGCAGAGGGAGAGCAGTAGAAGCCAGCGAGGCCGCGGATGAGGGGTCACCGTCCTCTCCCTGCTTAAGATCGTGTAGGAGGCGCTGCAGGTCACGGTGGAGGTCGGGGCTTTGCAACTCCTCCGGGCGACGTCGACCTGTGATCCCCGAGGATTCCAACCACACCTTCAGGCTGGTCGCTTCTTCCAGCTGTACGTAGTGTGAAGGAGAAACGTCAGTGTTGTAAATGTCATTGTTTGCATCTGTGGTTCTTTTTGCTTCCAACCCACTATCTGTTTACCTTTTATTTTCATTTCATCCCCATCTCTCACCTTCATGCTCTCTCTCTCTCTCTCTCTCTCTCTCTCTCTCTCTCTCTCTCTCTCTCTCTCTCTCTCTCTCTCTCTCTCTCTCTCTCTCTCTCTCTCTCTCTCTGTTGTCTCTTTTTCTCAATAATTTGTCAATAAAGATCTGGAAGCAAGCCCTGCCGTTCTCTCTCTCGTGGTGCTGTCTTTGATCACGCTGACAACGGAGGCAGCACTAATGCTTAAACCGTAGACCAAACAAATAATGCACATCCATATGTCTCAGAGTGACCTACCCGGTTGCACCACCTTGCCCCAGGAAGACTAACCTGGCGAGAGTGTAGCCCCAGCAGCCCATGGAGCTTAATGGGGTCCATAAACACCCCACGCTGGTCTCTGACGCTGACCCAAACACAAGCAGAAGGTGGTAGGGTGTCAGCTACGCGGGGCGGGTGCTGCCTTGCCTCCGTCCCGTCCTCTAAGGCGGTGGGCGGCGAGTGGGCGGCGTGTGGGGATGGGTGGTGGTGGTGGTGGTAGTAGTGGTGGTGGTGGTAGTGTGGAGGAGCATAGTGAGGGTGGCCATACACACTCACTACTTCCACCGTGTGAGTCCCTTCCCCCACCGCCTTCAAAATTCCCTCCACCAGACGACCCAGACCTCCTCCCCCGTGCTGGTCGGAGCGGAAAAATTACAAGGCTATAAGTTTGATTCAGTGACTAAAACTACCCCCCTTGTGCAGTAATCATTTGACTAGAGTGTGAGGGAAGGGTGCGGGCGAGAGGGATGTCAGCATGGAGAAGTTGGAGAGGGGAGGAGTGTGTGTGTGTGTGTGTGTGGGATGTCAATATGGAGAAGTGTGAGAAGTGTGTAGGTGAAATGGGTATTAGTATGGCGGAGTTTGTTGTATATAAATGGAACAGGTTACATATTTTTAACAAAAAATTAGGATAATGTTAGTTTTCGTTAACACCGGCAAAAGGCAATAATTAGCGTAGCACATAGCTATATACGTATATGTACAAAACATTTCAAACCTCCGTTAGATTGTTTTTATTGGCTCAGGAAGAATGCAGCTTGAAACTGGAAGCAAAAACTGACAAATATTTTTATGACGCCCAAAATAAAGTTCCCAACATACACAAGAACGTAATTACTAAAATATAGTGAATGACAGCACTTGTGGACCATAATGAAATATATGCCTTTCAAATTATGGCAAAATGCTTAGATCTCTCGAGAAAAGGTACTTATGCATCAAACTAGTATCAATTAAAAAAAAGAATGTTTGCCTGTTCGAGGTTGGAAGCCAGATGCTCAGAGGAAGCCTTATTAAACTTTACATGATTAATGGTATTTTATGAAGTTGTCATATGAGTTGACATATGACAACCCTCCTTCAGGAAGTGTTTGGATGTGAAATGTTCTGCCCTGAGTCCATAGACTTTAGCATTGGTTAAAAAATAGTGAATTAAGATACTGACTTTCAAAACGAATGTTCAGATGAGAGATTTGCATTCTGGGCATAGCCTTTTGATTACAACGACAAGGGAAAGACATTTATAAGCAGGGAGAGAGGAGACTGAGGAAGGGCGTATGTGAGTTTGGAGATAATTGACACGAGCGTTTGTGAGCAGGGAGAGAGGAGGAGAGGGAAGGGCGTGTGTGGGCAGGGAGAGAGGAGATGGGGAATCTGTGTGTTAGGATGTTTGAAAGATGGGGAGGGTGTGTGCAGGGAAAATATAGATGGTATGAAGATGTTTAGAGTGAAGGTAGTGTGTACTCGAGACCTGAGCTCGGCGAGTACCCCATTTATTATTTATAAATAGAAATGTATGTCTGTGTTCAACGTTAGGGGCCAGACGCTTAGGACTAGCTTCACTTCATTTTTCCCAGTAACTGCTGTTGGGTACATGCCCAACATGGGTGGGTTGGGATTGTCAAGGAAAAGAATGTCAAGTAACACTGAGCTAATGTCACCCCCACCAAAATCTCGCAATATCATATGACATGTCTAAATTATTATTATTATTATTATTATTATTATTATTATTAATATTATTATTATTATTATTATTATTATTATTATTATTATTATATGATCGCCATATCAGAAACTGTATGCTTTGATCATGGTAAAATTAACAAAAACTCTAATTATAATACCATTTAAATAAAAAAAGGTGATATGGTTTTCCTCTTTGACTTTGTATTGTGTATTGAACAGTGTGTGAAGTATTCTTATAGTGTTAAGATTAATTATATTGTAGGAGAGAAGAGGGAGAGGGCAGGGGGGAAGAGGAGGGTGAGGAGGAGGTGTGGGAATTGGGTGAGGGGGGGGGGGAGAGTTGGAAAGAGGGGGCAATGGAAGATGATGGGGGAGGGAAGGGAGAGAGTGAGAAGCTAGAGCCCGGAGAAGAGGGAGTTTGGGGTGAGAGAGGAAGTGGGGAGAGAGGGAGAGAAAACTTGGCTTATTAGGCAAATCGGGCCTTGAATATATATGGCTATTAGGTACGACATATATATATATATATATATATATATATATATATATATATATATATATATATATATATATATATATATATATATATATATATATATATATAATCACATATTTCTAATACAAGTTACAGTGGATAATGGCCGACAGGACCTTCGCCATTAAAGGGAGGAATATTACGCAGATTCTGTATATTTTCAATGAATTTTAATGAAGTTGGTGGAATGGAATCAGCCGGGACAGCGATGACTGGGAAAAAAAGACCTATTAACTGAGAAAGCGATAACTCCGTATGTGCACTCACCTGGCTGTATTCACCTTGTTTTGCACTCATAGGTTGCGTTTCAGCTCCTGGGTCACACCTCTCAGCCTCGCTTGTAGGGTTTCAGCATTATTTTATTATTGAGTTTTTTCTCTCGTTTTTCCCCTCTCTGATGTTTACATTGAGACGTTTTTAGAGTTTAGTTCAGTCATCTTCTTTCTGTATTTCTTTGAATTTCTAATATCTCAGTGGCTCCGATGTGTCTCTAGATTCCATTGTGACTTGTTCTGTTGTTTCTCACTTTGCCTCTTTGTCCACTTTGTTATTTCCTCTTTGAAATCATGAGTGTCGTTATCATGTCCCCTCCGTGCTCCTGTGTGGAGAGGTCCAGTTTCGTCAGTCTTTTCTCATAACTCAGTCACCGCAGCTCAGAAACCAGCCTTGTTGAGTGTCTTTGGACCATTTCTAATTATGATTTTTGCTTTTTTCAAGCATCTTGCGTCTCATTCTCTCACCTCGCGTCCCACTCTGTCACCTTGTGTCACAATTCCCCCTCGTGTCATCACATTCCATCTACCCTTATTCCATTCCATTACCTGACATGCTTTTTCCTCCCTGTGCGTCACATTCCCTCACTTCGCATTCCATTCCCGTGACGCGGCCACCAACACGCATATTTCCATTCCCCTTCTCCTCCTCCTCCCCCCTTTCCCCAGGTTAATCAATTTTCCTGATTACCTAGATGAGGCTAGAGGCGCTGGGAGGCACGCCCAAGCCGTGCTGGAAGCTAGGTGGAGATATTTGAGCACCTTTGGCTCAAGTGTCACTGAAGAGCTCAGTTCAAATTGGCACTTGCTTTGAAGACTCGAACAGCTTTGAGCTACACCAGGTGACCTGCAGCGCCGTCGGCTCGTAACCTCTTGGTCCAGGGTTGATATTCCCCGACAGGGCGCTAGAGCTAGGGCACGTTTCTGTGCTCCCGATGTTTCTATTCACCACATTGGTGTTTAGCTGGGAGTTAGTTGGTTGCCGTGCTTCGCATCCTGGGGAAGGTGTACTTGAGTTGTTCGTGAATTCGTATTGAGCAACAAGAGAAGGAATTCATGCAAAAGTCAACAAACGTCATATAGCAACGAGGTTATCTTGAGGTTATCTTGAGATGATTTCGGGGCTTTTAGTGTCCCCGCGGCCCGGTCTTCGACCAGGTCTCCAACCCCCAGGAAGCAGCCCGTGACAGTTGACTAACACCCAGGTACCTATTTTACTGCTAGGTAACAGGGGCATAGGGTGAAAGAAACTCTGCCCATTGTTTCTCGCCGGCGCCTGGGATCGAACCCAGGACCACAGGATCACAAGTCCAGCGTGCTGTCTGCTCGCTGACTAGGAGGCAGTTTGCACCCCACTGGATAATGAAATGGGTATTCCCGCCCAACCGAACTTTTGTGAGTGCCAATGTTAGCAGAGTTCTAAGGCCTGAGAGCCAATGGTACGGGTATTGGCACACCATGGCCTATGGCAGGGAGAACCCAATGCTGTCTGCCTTGCCTCATTCTCAACTGCATGTCTGCGGTGGACAGACACGTTGTGTGTTCACGCTTGTCACAGCTCCGTCAAGGCCGCTATAACAGGAAGGAGCACGATACATCACTTTTAAAATAATGAACAAATTGAAGGATATGATTCCAGATCACTTCTTTGAAAATCAAATGTAACGCACGCAAGGGACAATATCTTCAAGCTACACAAGCCACAATGTACGACAGAAAACAAGAGATTCTTTCCCCCCCCCCATTGGGTCACAAACCCGTGGAAGACATTACTGCAGTTCAAAATCCCGTGAGAAAAAAAAAATATCAGGAAACCCTTTAACAAGTCGCCGGCTTCCTGTCCCCGTCGTAGCCACAAGATAGATGGTGTCCTTCAGGTAAAAACAAACACGCACCGGATTACACAACTCGAGTTTTCTTAATTGCTGTTTTGATGGGGGTAGACAAAGCCACAGTCAGGCGTGCCAACACCGCCATCATCTGCACCTGAGGCCAAGTCTTCTCTCATTTTGGCGTTCTTCAAGACGTGCACTCGTCCGAAATGGGCCCGTGTGGTCGTAACTTACTCTACTTTGGCGAAGGAAGAAACTAGTAATTGACACCAATGAGGAACGAGAACTTACAATGGGGGGGGGGGGAGGGTGCTACATGTGTGTACTTCGTGAGTAACAATCTCTATGCAGCATTACCCATCGTTAAAGTTACAATTTGAAGGATAGCAAGCATTATAACAGTCAATTTAAAAGAGCGCAACATGAAGTCGAAAAGGAAGGGAAATTATGTGGAGAGAACCCTAGGCCAGTATGGCTACACAGTACTTAGAAGGCATATGAGGACAAGAATCTAAGATATGAGGATTAGAATCTAGGATATGAGGACAAGAATCTGGGATATGAGGACTAGAATCTGGGATATGAGGACAAGAATCTAGGATATGAGGACTAGAATCTGGGATATGAGGACTAGAATCTGGGATATGAGGACAAGAATCTGGGATATGAGGACAAGGATATCTGGGATATGAGGACAAGGATATCTGGGATATGAGGAAGGAATGAAATTACCCAACCATTTGGATCATCAGAGGACCCATCGAACGGCAATGCTCTTAATCTTTAAGTAATATGTATTTAATATTTTGGCTAATAAAGCCCATTTTAAAGATACTTATAATGTTTAACTATGTAGTCTTCCCAGCTTGGTTCTTTCGTGTTGATAATTACTTATATAATGTTTAAGAAATGTTATCCTTTGATTTATTAAGATAACAAGATAATGTTTTTAGATCAGTGGAGCTTACCGTTGGCGTCCATCCCCTGGTGAGGTCCGTGGGCGTGGTGGGCGTGAGTGTAATGGGGGCGGCGTGGGCGAGTGCCTCCTGCGACAGGAGTCTGACAGCCACAGTAACGTTGGCTGACACCCCGCGCTGACGCCACGCTCTGTCGCTGACGCTGAAGTGAAGCTCATACCTGGTGAAAGGGAAGTGAGCAGGGGTTAGTGTGCAGGCGAGGAGTCACAAGAACGTGGCTGAAGTATGTTGACTAGACCACACACTAGAAAGTGAAGGGACGACGACGACGACGTTTCGGTCCGTCCTGGACCATTCTTAAGTCGATTCCCATTCTCAGGGGTTAGTGTGTGTGTGTGTGTGTTTGTTTGCGATTGTACACGTGTGTTTGTTTGCGATTGTACACGTGTGTGTGTGTGTTTTTGTATGCGTGCGTCCACGCTCGGTCATACATCAAAATCGTGGCTAACATAAAATATAAAACCTGAAAATCCTTTGCATCGCACAAAATGTCTATAGAAATCAAATAAATTTAACACTCACAATTTCCTTTCTATTCCTGCATTCAAAACACGCGCTGCGTGTGTGTTTGTGTGTGTAGGAGATGATTTACTGAACACAAACTGATTTGTAGCTTTCGACTGCCCCCAGACGTGTCTGATTCGCGTTCCTGGCGCTAAACCAGACACAGTGGCTGCCTTTTATTCTTTGGCAGCTTCACACGACACCATGTTCCTGGCACGGCACCTGACACGGTGGCTCCTGAGCCATCTATGAAAGTGTCACATGCCACGTCTGTGCATTTATTTCCCGCCGTAGATGACCAATGCGTCATTGGGATCACCGAGCCTAATACATATCAATTATTGGCGCGAGCCGAAGGCAATGGGAAGGACGGGGTAGGTTGGGAGAGAGAGTGGGGAGCGGGGGGAAGGGAAGGGAAGGGAAGGGAAGGGAAGGGAAGGGAAGGGAAGGGAAGGGGGGGGGGAAGTGGAAGACGAAGGGGAAGGGAAGGGGGGGAAAGTGGAAGACGAAGGGGAAGGGAAGGGGGGGAAGGGGGTAGGGAAGAATAAGCGAGGTAGAGGGAGTGGAGGATGAAGAGGTAAAGGAAAGGAGAGTTAATAATTCAACAGCTTATCATTGTTGTCGCCTCGCGCACGGAATTGGTCTCGTGTCTCTGCCGTCGTTGCCTCTCATGCTACGCGGGTTGTGGCATATAGTTTTGTTGATAAGACGAGGAGGAAACTCTTATTAACGGTGATCATTATAGTAGAAAATAATGATAGCATTATAGGATGAACCGTAACACTGAAGCAGTGCTTTCTTCTATACTGCCAAGTTTGCTTATTCTAATTAATATCTATTCTTTTCTTCCTTTCTTTGTGTTCTTGTTCTTTTTTTGTTCCTTTCACTTCTCTCCCGCTGTCTCCCATGCCTCATGGCTTTCCGCTTTTCACTTTCTCTTCAACTTTCACTTCTTCCCTTCATTTTCTCTCCGTCTTTCCCACTTCTACCTTTCCTAATATGCATCAATAAATCTCTCTCTCTCTTCACTTACACCCATCTTATTCTCGCCTTTCTTCCATTTTCCATTCCTCCTCCTCCTCCCCCGTTCCATTCCATCGATCGATTCCAGGGTAAAGTATCTCTGACGACACATTCTTCCGTGAAGTGATGTTATTTAAGGAACTTACAAGACACAAGCTCACTGAGAGAGAGGGGGGGGGCGTCGTCTTCGGGTCATTATTATTATTATTATTATTATTATTATTATTATTATTATTATTATTATTATTATTATTATTATTATTATTATTATAGTCGTAGTTGTGGTTGTAGAAGTAGTAATGCTTGGGCAGATGAGGTTAGTTATTTGCATTTGTTTTTTTTTCTCTTGGTTTTCCGACTTTTTATATTATTCTTAACTTCCTTCTCAGAACTCTTTGCGTGTTTTTCTTGGTGGCTCGAGTTGATGAATAAGTCGGAAGTTACCTGAAAGCTTCACTGAAAATATAAAAATGAAAAAAAAGTATAGTGGTCTTCATTAGCGGAAAAGGGGCCATTAAAATGAATACCCGTCTAATCCTTTCAAAAGCCTTCAAGCTATGCAAAAGGGGGTATAAGCTTCGCTTCGTTATCACCCAATTAGCTCGTAATTGGTGCGTAAATGGTCCCGGACCCCTGAGGAATAGGGTCACTTCCCATTACTCAACATTTTATTGATGAATAAAGGAAATAAAAATATTAGTAAAGCAGCACGAGAGGTATAGGAAGAGAAAGAAAGGAAAATAGAAAAACGGACATGGGCCGGGCACTTAATCTGCGTCATGCCCGCTCCCTTGACCACCATGGCTGACGCCCGCTGCGCTAATGACTCCCATAAAACTGCCATGACTGTCGCACCATGACCGCCTGCTTATGATATATAACCTTCCCTCCCGTCATTTTTCCATAAATGTAAAATTTTGGATCACATTTCTGTATGCAAATGAAAAATATCTTCACTTTTCGAGAGAGAGAGAGAGAGAGAGAGACCTAGCCCATCTGGGTCACCCAAGTTCCCTGGCCCACTTTAGTCTCCAAGCCCACCTAAAGTCCTTTAGTCCATCTAAGATCCTTGGTCCATCTAAGTCCAGTAGCTCACCCAAGTTCTGTAGAGTCCATCATTTAGTCTGACACGCTAACCAGGTAGCAGTTTATGGGGGCAAAAGTTAATCTCCAAGTACTGCAAAAGCACTTGGTCTTTAATTTTGGACGGACTTGAGCGTTATATTTGTATTACTGTCAGATGCTGTGTGTGTGTGTGTGTGTGTGTGTGTGTGTGTGTGTGTGTGTGTGTGTGTGTGTGTGTGTGTGTGTGTGTGTGTGTGCGTGACTATGCACTGAGTTCCTCATGACAGACGCATTACATCATACAAACATTGTAAAAAAATAACAAAATCTGATACATTATGTAAAGAACATATGTAACCCTCTTTCGCCTACTTTATCTCCTTCCCCCTCCTCATCCCATCTCTAATCCTTACCCTGATCCCTTCTAAGTGCTATATACAGTAGTCGGAATAGCTTGACGCTTTCTCCTGATAGTTTATTTCCCTTCCCTGCATATTTTTCAATGTTTATCTTTCTACATTGCGCAATTTTTCTTTATGTGTACATATACTGATTTTTTTGTATCTCTCCATACATTGTAGAATCTCTCTGAACACGGTGCAATCCGTTCCCTGTAAATTATGCAGTTCTCTGCACATTGTACATTCCATGTCTCTGTACGTACATTGTACTGTATAATCTTCCTCTGTATACTGTATCGTTCATTTCTCTACACATTTTACAATCCCTCTCGCTGTACATTGTACAATTCTTCCCTCTGTACATAGAGAGGCAATTGTCAATATACAGAGCTCTACACAGAGACACAAACATAATACCATCTCTTGCCCAATAAACAATGAGTGATACGCCAGACACCACCACATACATGCAACAATGACATCAATATTTCCCTGTACGTTGTACATTCTTTGTTTTCCCTCTGTGTACACATTGTACAATAAGGGCATAGCTCTTGCTTACCAGAACTCAAGTTAGAAATAATTTGGATTTTGTAATTTTTATTGAAACATGTTTCTAGCGTAGTTTTGTCAAATTTATGAATAAATTTGGGTGGATATTAATGAAAGATCTCTGGTGTGTGCCAATAGGCTTTCGGCACCTTCCTTAATTCTTATGTTTTTAAGTTCTTGTATGCACGTTTAAGGCTCTGCCTTTGCTAGCACTCAAGTCTCAACACTCAGGTTTTACATGTGTTTACCTGCGCAGGCGATGAGTCACAATAACGTGGCTAAAGTATGTTGACCAGACCACACACTAGAAGGTGAAGGGACGACGACGACGTTTCGGTTCGTCCTGGACCATTCTCCAGGCACTCAAGTCTCACAATCGACTTGAGAATGGTCCTGGACGGACCGAAACGTCGTCGTCCCTTCACCTTCTAGTGTGCGGTCTGGTCTCTAATCAGGCCTAAAAAAGAATTCTCAACAAAGAATCTGAAACCTAAAAAAAAAAAAAAAAATGTCGCTAGATACGTGTATATTATTAACTGCGTTAAATTAAGTGATCCGATTTTCTTGTAAAGATGCATCTAATCTCCTCTTTAAAAAAACTGTATATGCGTCAAGTAAATCAACTTGACGCTCCTGCTGTTGTCTGCCCCTTAGGGAAGCCCATTAAAACTTCCGGAGGATCCGGGAATTTATCAAGGAAAAAAAATTAATGACCTTCCCTTAAAAAACCTCAAATTCCACTCTGTATTTCTCGGCAATATTAGAGGTTGCTTGGGCCTCTGTTTATCAGGTGTTGCGTACACCCTTCTTTACCAAAGGCGTAAGAATAGAGGCTTATATGGATAGATACAGATAGAGAGATGCGGAGACAGGGAGATCAGTACCACATTTGTCTTATCAGGTGGATAGTCTATCGGACGTCTATACAGGTATATCTATATAACACCTATGTAAATAAATATCTACGAACAACACCTGTGTGTGTGTGAGCTATTTCATCTATGACACAAATCTCTACACTGATTTGCAAGATGATATCTGACTATTGAGGTGATCCTTGAAATACCTCAAATCCACGTCAGCTTCTGATCTTAAAGTGGCGAGTTGTATCTTGAATGAGACCTGAACCAAAGATGAACACGGAGACAAATGAACGAATGCGTACGATCTACATAGTGACTCGTATCGTAATCCACATATTACCCAATGAAGAAACAGTAAGTGGTGCACCAGCCACCAGGACCTACCTTCCCTCCCTGACCTGGCTGGAGGCGAAGATGGTGCCGTCGTTGGGGTTCAGGGAGAAGAGTGGGTGAGGGGGACCCACCCACTGGAAGGTCTTGTCCTCGAGGTCCCAGTCGTCTGGGTCCTCCACGTAGACCCGGCCCAGGGGAGCCTTGGATCCTCCTCCGCCCTAAGGAGGGGAAAAAACAAGAGATGTGAAAAATGCAACCGAAAAAGGCTGTTCGAGCAGAGGATGTTGTGTGTGTGTTTTGTGTGTGTGTGTGTGTGTGTGTGTGTGTGTGTGTGTGTGTGTGTGTGTGTGTGTGTGTGTGTGTGTGTGTGTGTGTGTGTGTGTGTGTGTATAGGTGAGTGCGGATAGGAGATCCTGGGGAGGGCCGCGGCTCCCCGGGGTCATTAGAACCCCTGTAATTTGATATCAAAGTATGTAGTGCAATAGGGATCAAAGGGTGATCGTGGGCAGGGTTGAGCTGTAGCTCTACACCAGAGAAACACCGGTCACCTCTGCTCTGTAAATCACACCAGCACGCAATAATCACCATAGCAAACGTGTACACCCAAATCACACCATCTGATTTAGGCACCAATCGACTAAACTATTCCACGTAAACGCCTATAATATGTTTAAATAACTAAGAACACCACCCAATTATACCGTTGTCATTGCCCATACTGCGGTGAACTTTGACAAAATGCATCAGATTGCAAAATAAAGTTTAATTACAGCCATTGAAAGATCATAGTAGCGATTTAAAGATCATCTAGGTTCTTTGTGAGAGTGTAATCTTGTCTCCATGTGGCAGTACATTGAAGAGAGTGTTACAACCCTGCTATTTATCGTTTGTTTCAAAGGCATGAGTGAGGGGAGTCTGCGGGCTTCTGTTCCTGCCTTTTGTGTATTGTTCAAAGCCAAACAAACATTGGAATGATTAGAAAGGACGTTAAGAGTCGAAGTTAAAGACGAGGAGGCTGGGTTTGACGGATGTTATACCTGGAGGAGGCAATGGTGCGGTGGAGGTGTGCTTCCACAGCCAGTCTGCGTACCTGGGTGAGGGCCTAAGTGACCGCTGCTTGCTAGGAAGTCAGCTAGTTGGTAGGAAGTCAGTTAGTTGGTAGGAAGTCAGCTAGTTGCTAGGAAGTCAGCTAGTTGGTAGGAAGTCAGTTAGTTGGTAGGAAGTCAGCTAGTTGGTAGGAAGTCAGCTAGTTGCTAGGAAGTCAGCTAGTTGGTAGGAAGCCAGCTAGTTGGTAGGAAGTCAGCTAGTTGCTAGAAAGCCAGGTAGTTACTAAGAAGCCAGCTAGTTGCTAGGAAGCCAACTAGTTACTAAGAAGCCAGCTTGTCCAAGAAATGCAAGATAATTATTCAAACATCGTCTGTTTAAATGGTAATCTCATGAGTTGTCTTCCCCCTAACAATAAATAAGACTATTCAGCATTTTATGCTAATGAATGATAATACTAATATGCCAGAACAATATTTTAATACCAATGAAATATTTTAGCTCTATCTATAAGTTATAACAGATAAATAGATTATACAGGTTTTTCGTTCAGGAATAATGTAAATTCGGTGCATATTCACCGATATAGGGTCCAAACTCTATATAAACACCCCTTTGTAGCACGTGGGAGAAAAGGCAGTTCTTCCTGCAGACTGCTTACAAATATACAAATACAAATACAATACAATACAAATACAATACTTACAATACAAATACAAAAAAGGAAAAAAATTGAGGGGTTTACAAGTTCCATTTTCTGCACTATAGATACGCTAGGAAAGCACACTTAATATCATTAATTGGTAATTAGGTGAAGGGAAATCTTCATTTATAATGAAATTATAACAATCGCTTAGGTCATCATTTTATTGACAACGGGGAGGTATACTCCATTTATCAGTGAACATACACTGAGTTTACTTTAGTCTTGGACTGTGGTTACTACTAAAGTATACTTGCTGGTTGGTCAGTGAGCTATTGCAGCGGCCTTAATAAATCTCCCGCAGTTGATAGGGCTGAAAGACCAATCCCAGATTTTATTGGCTAGTTGATATACTGCTTACCAGATTCTCTCTCATCTCTCCCTCTCCCCCCTCTCTCTCTCTCTCTCATCTCTCCCCCTCTCTATATATCTCCTCAATACACTTTATCTTCTTCCCATCACTTTATCTTTCTCAATACTTTCTCTATTCCCATTCTTTTTTTATACCATTTCTTTCTATATCATCCCTTTCTTAATAATATATCATCTCTTTCTTAATACTCTCCCATTTCTCTCTCCTACTCTTTCCTACTGTTTCTCCCTCATCACAGCCCCGTGCGTAACACAGAGTAACTCCGCACGAAGCAAAGTTAAACAATTCACTTTGTGTCTCAAAGTACGCTAATTTATTCACTTGATTTTAATTAATTCACCCCCGGGGAGAGCGCGTCCCTGCCAGCTTATTAGACTTGATCTACTGGTCCTGAAGACTTCACGAGCTAACGCTTACAATTCCTTTGTCTTTAAGAAGAGTGAAAGCTTCTTAGCGAATCTGTATCATCCTTTAATTAAATTGGTAAGACATGCATTGCACAGGAGATAGTTAGTCGTGGCCGAGAATAGGGAAGGGGAAGCTGTGAATAGAGTGGAGATTCGATAATAGGGATGGAGGAGATCGAGATAGGATATTGGCGTGAGGAAACATCCCAGGAAAGGAAAGAGGAAAAATACCAGATATAGGTGGGTATACAGATATAGGTGGGTATATAGATATAGGTGGGTATACAGATATAGGTGGGTATACAGACATAGGTGGGTATACAGACATAGGTGGGTATACAGCTTGACGGTGTATGATACAGACTACACCAAAAATTAGCAGCCACAGCCCAGACGCACGAAAGGCCAGGCAATACAGTGTAACTCCGAGGGCTAGCAAAGACCCTGCCCGCCCCCCTCCTCACCTGGGTCTTCCAGAGGTAGACGGTCTTGGAGGCGGGCTTCATGGGGTTGTCGTTGAGGTCGTCGATAACAACGGTGACGGGGTGGGTGGCGGTGACTCCGCCGGCGTCACCTATCGTCACCTGCACCTCTAGGCTCCGGTGCTCCTCCCGATCGGCCGGCCGAGACGTCCAAAGCTCAGCGCCGCCCCTGCCGCTGTCCAGGTCTGCTCCGCACGGGGAGGAAACAATGGGAATTATCCCCTCGGCTTTGACTAAGATCAGTAATGTTAAATGAGCCTGAATTATGTACATGTAAATAAGAAGGCTATATAAAACATCTATGAATATTTATCTGGAGTGTTAAATGTTACATAGACCCCTGAGGAGAAATGTCACATATGAGGAGAAAGCGATAAGCCGGTATGACTGTGTAACACTTGGAAGCGACATATGGACAAGGAGCTGGGATCATATGAGGTTGGGGATGAAGAACCACTGCCCAACAAATTAGATCATCGGGGATCGAACGCCGACCTGTAAGAAGCGAGACCGTCGCTCTACCGACTGGCCCATTTTGTTAATCAGTTATTATGTAAAGAACTTCTGTTATTACTGTAATGTATTTAGCAGCTATAGAATTTTTTTTTGAAGCACTAGAAGATATTTTCATGAATTTAGACCGTTTTGTTTTTGTAATGTAAATGTGTTTGCGTTGAAAATATTCTTGCTAGTATGTAATGCAATGTCATAAGTATATTCATTTTGATAGTTTCAGTAATGATAAGGATTTAAACTGTTTTTAGATAGGAAAGAGTCACTAAACAAAATCGCATATTATAGCATTTTCAGATGGATTGATGAATGGTATAATTCACATATTCAATTATTAATTTGGGTTTCACAAAACACTGGCATCACAATATATATATATATATATATATATATATATATATATATATATATATATATATATATATATATATATATATATATATATAATATAATATAATATAAAGTTATAAATGTATTATTTATTATGTATAACACAATATAATATTTTGTGAGAGTAAGATACCAAAGCAGGCACACGGTAAAAATAACTTATCTGACCAGTAACGTGACAGCAGGAGCCACAGCCGCCCCAATATCAATATAATAAATCACGCCTCAAACCCCTCTCCACCAAAATAATCCTTTACACACCACATGCTGATCTCTGCTCATGCCTCATTCACTCACACGAACATTTGCATCCACAGCACCCACCGTGACCACCACGGACGACACACACACAACGGGGGGGGGGGGGGGGGGGGATAGGGGCGGCGGGATAGGGGCGGCGGGATAGGGGCGGCGGGATAGGGGCGGCGGGATAGGGACGGCTGGTTCCGTCAGCGGACTATACGGAAAGACTCGCGTGATCGCGTCTATGGAATCGTTGTTTGACTGTCGTATCAAACGCTAAATGTTGCAACAACGTTTTTGACAACCGTAAAACCAACGTTGTGTGTTTGCTGGGATGTGGCAATAGGGTGTGTGGGGGGTGGGGGGTGGGATGATTCTACACTACGCTGCAAATTGCGGACAAAGTTACAGCCCCTCTCCTGTGCCCGGTAGGTCCACTACGGGCTCACCATAGCCCGTGCTACTTGCAACTTTTTGTTCCCTGTTGCTGAATCTAAAACAACAACAACAACAACAACAGCTGCAAATGGGTTTTAAAAGTGACGAGGAAAATTTATTTTAAACTTATGGATGCTGTAGCACCGAGGAACAAATGTAAAACACACACACACACACACACACACACACACACACACACACACACACACACACACACACACACACACACACACACACACACACACACACTTTTTCTACTTCTTAACTTTATACGTTTTTTCAGAAGAATTAGTATTGTGCTAGAGCTCTTCGCCACATAACTATGTACTTAACAATAGCACAGAGTGAAGAGAACATCACCACATAAGAATAACACAGAGTGAAGAGAACAACATCACATAACAATAGCACAGAGTGAACATAACAACACATAGTTTAGGTTTGGTTTTTGCATTCTTTCTCTTTCCCTATACAAAATCGATAGAACAAAACGTGGTCTTTTCAGAGTACAACAGTCCATTTTTGTTCCTTCCACCAATAACAGTACTATCGTTTTTGGACGACTGGCTGATCAAATAACAACAACACATTGAGAACAGAATAACAACAGAACCCAAAATAACACAGATAACCGACAAAGGAACAGTGTATAACACCATAGAGAGAACAAAAATAACACAACTCAGCTGCTGACTATAACAAGACACTGCTGACATGTGTTAAGCAACAGCAACAAGAGGACGAAGTCATTTACATTTCAGACCTGTTGCATTTTGCGTTAATTGTTTTGGCCATCTGTTTACACCATCAGCGAGCTCTCTATACCGCTCCCGGGTCCCTCCCATCTGTGACTCCTGCTCCCTCTCCCTTCCCTCTGCGTGTGTGACTCCTGTCCCTCTACCCCCTCCCTGCGTCTCCTTCCCTCTCGTCTCCCCTTTCCCCTGTGACTCAACCCCTCCCCCTCTCTCAGTGTCTCTCTCTCTCTCTCTGGGACTCATTCGACAACCGGGACTTGTTGGTGAATACGTCCTAAGGTGTCAATTGCTCCGTCATCCAGCTCAGTCTGGCTCTCGTACCTCCCTGGCTGACATGCTCCCCTAGTCCTCCTACAACCGTTCCATGTCTTTCGTGAGCTATACACTTTCGTTATCGAAGCCTTCCCCCTACACTTCTGGACTCCTTTTTTGTTTAATGTGCTCTAGCCCCCCTACATATCTGTTTCCTCGCAAACACATCGGGACCCTCTCAAAAACATCTGGCCCTTCCCCCCACCTTTCACATATGGCTTCTCCTGCACATCTAGCCCCTCCCCCTCCACCTCTAGCCCCTCCCCCTCCACATCTAGCCCCTTTCCCTCCACCTCTAGCCCCTCCCCCTCCACATCTAGCCCCTCGCCCTCCACCTCTAGCCCCACCCCCTCCACCCTCTCCACTACAGTATCAACTTTCACTAATTGTTAAGCGCGTTATTGGTACCAGGAGAAAATAGTTTATTTTTCATTAATTACACAATACTGTCTGTTTGTCTAAAATGTGTGTGTGTGTGTACTCACCTAGCTGTGCATGTTGAACTTGAGCGCTTGTGTCCCATCTTCATTCAACAGTATACGGGTTTTAGAGTCTTATGGACTCGTCATATCTAAATCTGAGGCTGTTTGTGGCATATGTTCCTCTATCACTTGACTTTCTGGTTCACATCCTCTATATACTCCTCTGAGGCAAGAGTGAACAACCGTTAACACAACCACTTACTCTTCATCTTATGGGGGGATGTTTTGCCTGCTTTAAGCATTTATTTACATTTGTTCGGATTTTCCAACCGGTTACAAAAGAGAGAGAACTAAATAATTAGACAGTTTGATTTGACTTTTACATTTAATTTTTTTTTATTATTAAATTTTGCCCCGAGGGGCGAGTTTATTGGGCAGCGCCACTCATCTTGTGAGTGGACATACCGCCATAGTGACAGTACTGGGCAGCGCCACTCATCTTGTGAGTGGACACACCGCCATAGTGACAGTACTGGGCAGCGCCACTCATCCTGTGAGTGGACATACCGCCATAGCAGCATGTACAACACTCCCCAATAGGAAGAAAACCCGCTGGGTTGTTCATCCTGTCACTTGTACCCAGACACAGCTGGGACTTGCTTAACTATCTCAAGGGAACAGCTCGTCAAACAAGAAGATTAACATCTATCAACTTTTACATTCTAAACTGCAAGTTAGTTCCCTATACGCAACATCTTACACTCTGATATACCTATTTAATCGATCTCGATGCAGAACAGAGATGTTACTTCGTTACTTTGTGTAGTATTCGAAGTTTTCTCGAATATGAACGGTATTTCGGGTTTTATACAATAGATAACAAGTATTCGTCTTAAACACTTCATGCAATGAAATATAACATCATCATACATTACTGTATAGCAGAGGTAATAATGCCTCGTGCTTCCGTTTATATTTGCAACAGTATTCAGATTAGAACCCTTGCAGCATGCGCGCCAAGAAGGTTTGCAATAGTATTAGAAGAACCCTTCATTGCAGCATGCTCGCTAAGAAGGCTTGCAACAGAGGGGTTTAAGCAGCTTTGTACCACTTTGTTAACATGGCTAAACATTGGCTTTTGGCTATTAACTCATTGCTGCTGCTGCTGCTGCTGCCGCTGCTGCTGCTGCTGCCTCTGCTGCCTCTGCTGCTGCTACTGCTGCTGCTGCTGCTGCTACTGCCGCTGCTGCTACTGCTGCTGCTGCTGCTGCGGCCGCTGCTGCTGCTGCTGCTGCTGCTGCTGCTACTGCTGCTGCTGCTGCTGCTGCTGCTGCTGCTGCTATTGCTGCTGCTGCCGCTGCTGCTGCTGCTGCTGCTGCTGCTGCTGCTCTCTGCGTGCGCGTGTCCACACACGCGCGTGGCAATTAAGACAGTAAAATTACAGAAGTTTTCGCGATAGAGTGGTTGCGTGTTGGCTAAATTGTGTGATAGTGTATTTTTTCCACAGTGCGCGTTTAATTTTCTCACTAACATCTTGTTCTAGTTTTATATTACGCTAAGAACTCTTACCAAATTGGGAGTTGCAACAAACGTGTACTCACCTAGTTGTGCTTGCAGGATTGAACATACGCATTAAAGCCCCGTCTTTCGACCATTATTAGTTCGTGTGTGTGTGTGTGTGTGTGTGTGTGTGTGTGTGTGCACGTATTTACACTTGTAAAGCGTCCATATCTCAGTGTCCATACTTCTGTCTATAAGTGCTTCTACATGTCTGTAAGTGCTTCTGTGCTTCTACGTGTCTGTTAGTGCTTCGACATGTCTGTATGTATGCAAGTTCCTATATGCGAGTGAGTGTAAGTGCTTGTGTAAATTCAGGATCCAGGTAATTCATGTGACGTGCATTTTTTTTAAGAACCATTATTAGTATCTTATATGTATGATGCATATATGATAAATTATATATTATAAAATATAATTTTTTTATTTAATTCAGTGACAGGAAATTAAGGTTTACACGACAAAAACCCCTGTCACACATTCTACTCGGTTCTGAAATAAACATATGAAAATGAAATCAGAACTTTGGTAACTATTTGGTGCTATCAAATTGAA